ACACACACAAACACACACAAACACACACAAACACACACACAAACACACTTCAAAGTCAGATCAAAGTCCTACTGCAAGATTTGTTGATGATTCCAAACAAAACATGTCTGAAACATGCCACTTGCTATGGTTTATTGTTTATTCTTAGCAGTTTGGTACCATTTTACTTTGAGTTATTGAAATGTGATGTTTTTTGTTAAAAATAAATGATTACTCTGTCTCCTACTTTGTCTTTTCCTTATAGCATGGTCAGATTTGTCTGTAAGCATATTTTGGCATCTTTGTTTACTCTCACCCAACACAAATGTGTTTTTTTTTTTATTCTACAATTTTAACTTGTGACAAAATCTAAAACTTAAGAGGTTAAGTTCGTTACAACAATTGGCTTATAGATTTCAGCCTACAAATGCAGCCAAATAGTGGCTATTGATATTTTTGATGTAACCAAATTTTTAGGTTTTGGCTGTCTGAACTTACTGGAATTATTTTTTTAGTGAAATAAAATAAATATTAAATATAGCAAAAACAAGCATATTTTACATTTAAAAAAATATGGTACATTTAGAGGTAAATAAATAAAACAAACACCAAAATAATGCATAAATTGCTCGTTTTTATTTTATCAAAGATAGTGATATGACATTTAATTCAAAGAAAAAAATCACACCTGAGACCTTCCTAGCCAAATGTATCCACGAAGGACCAGTTAAGGGCTGCTTTCCGAAGGATGCTTGAGGGTTAAGAGTACTTAAGCAGCATTAACTGAAGAAACCCCCTGCAAACAATCCCTGATCTGAGTGAGAAGTACTAGAAATAAACCAGTAGACTGGTGTGCTGCTTCTGTGATCACTGACAGACAGGAGCGCATCTCGCTTCACGGCTCGGTGTCTGCGTGTGTTTCTGTGCTTCGGCGTCGCAGTGAAGCTGCTCCGCGCTGCGTGGGAGTCACACGCACATAGAAACACGGAGCTGAACCGCGCAGCCAGCGCACAGCAGCCCTGACAGACTGTAATTATAAAGCACGCAAACACCACAACACTGCAGTATAACAGCATGTCAAAGCGTTGCAGTCAAGTCACGCACCATACGGCCGAAACTCAGCGGCGTCGCGGGAGCGGATCACAAAACGAGCCGTGTACTCACGCATTCCGCTGATCTGGACGCGGGTCATTCACTCACATCCCCAAACGCGCCCGAGAACGCACCGCTGCGCGTCAACCCGCACGCGACGACAGCAACAGTTTCCAGACTAGAGTCATTGGAGCCGATTCCAATGATCGAGGTTGGTTGCAGACACGCCCCTTCTGGGATTTAAACCAATCAGAAGACCAGCAGCTCAATGTGGGCGTAGCACACAGTAACATCATAAAGAGAACCACTGTAATATGATGCATTTTTATAAATAAATAAAAATTATTACTAAATAATTATTCAATAATATAATATAATATAATATATGTAGGGCGAAACAATGATTTATTTAGTATTTACTTTTCACATTTCAGTGAATATAATATAATATATGTAGGGCGAAATAATGATTATTATCATTATTATTATTAATGATAATGATTATTTAGTATTTACTTTTCACATTTCAGTCAATTTGTAAATAATATAATATAATATAATATAATACTGTAATATATAATAATATAATACGAAATACTGATTTCTTTAGTATTTACTTGAAAAGTTGTTATAATTTAAAACAACTGTTTTATATTTTAATATATTTTCAAATATAATTCATTTATGTGATCGCAAAGCTATTTTTTATAGCTTTTTAAAAAATTTATACTTTTGAAAAAAAGTATCACCAAGGCTGCATTTATTTGATCAAAAATACAGTAAAAACAGTAATATAGTGAAATATTATTACAATTTAAAATAAACGTTTTCTATGTGAATATATTTAAAATATATAATTAATTTGTGTGATGTAAAGCTTGGTTTGGAATAATTATTTTTTTTATGTTTTTGAAAAACGTCTCACCAAGGCTGCATTTATTTGATCAAAAATACAGTAAACATCGTAATATTGTGAAATATTATTACAATTTAAAGTAACTGTTTTCTATGTGAATATCTGTTAAACTGTAATTTATTTCTGTGATGCGCAGCTGTATTTTCAGCATCATTACTCCAGTCTTCAGTGTCACATGATCTTCAGAAATCAGTATAATATGCTGATTTGCTGCTCAAGAAACACTTCTGATTATTATCAATGTTAAATCAATGTATTATATACATTTAAAAATGAAATTGCATGGCATTGACAAAAACGCAGAATATATTAAGCTACGGAATAATATATTCACCTTTCCATGTATTTGCGCCATAAACACGATCAAATCACTCACACCACCTAGCGGACAAATGAAGAACAGCGATCATTTAAGATGGAAATATGGATTGGATAGATGAAAAAATATACTTTTGCAAAAAAATAAAAAATACCTGTTTTGTTAGTGACACATGTGTACACAGAGAATTAAAATATGAATACCTATTTTTAGTAATGTTAGATTTTAAGAGTTTTACTTTGCTTTCATTTCCAGCCTTTGAATAAGATGATATTTTAAATTCAATCTGGTTTTTTTTGGGG